GATGCCGTGACATTGCCCCGCAATCTGAAGCACGATCCCACTGGTCTCAACTAAACATGCTTGTTGATTTTTTTCGACCGCGGACAAAGCAAGCCAACAAAACCGCACCGCGGCTGCGTCGACCAGTGTCTGTCGTGTATGTGTTTCCTCCGCAAGAGACGCGCCACACGAAGCAAGGAGGAGACCGAGCGCGAGGGTCAGGACCAGCGAGACGAGCAGGTGGGGCTGAGGTGACGGGCCCACGTTCCACCACCACTACCGCACGTAGGCGAGGGAGGAGGAGGAGGTGGAAGAGATGGAGGAGGAGGAGGAGGAGGAGGAGGAGGAGGAGGAGGAGGAGGAGGAGGAGGAAGAGGAGGGCCTCCCCATCCTCCCTTCTCCCCCGTCCCACCTGTGGTGAGTGGTGGGAACTGGCTCACTCATGAGAGGCGCGGGGCGCGCGGAGCTGCAGGCCGTCGGGGCGCCCAGGTGGAGGCCGCCCTCCTGCGAGCCGCGGGCTCCGCCGCCCCCTCCCCCTGGCCGGGCTCAGTCCTCCTCGTCGGAGTCGTCCTCGTCGGACTCGCTGTCCATCAGGGCGGCGAACTTGCTCTTGGCCACGAACTTGTTCTTCGCCTCGGCCTTCGCCTGCGGGTCGGCCTTCGCCTTCTTGCCCTTGACACCTGGCTCGGCCGCCTGCGGCGTCGCGTCGTCTACCATGTTGGCCCACGATGTCTCTCGCGGCGCGGGCACCTCGGCTGCCGCCTCCGCCCTGCCGCCCTGAAGGCCCTTCTTCTTGGCGTTCTTGCCGAGGGCGGCCGGCGCCGGCTCGGGAGCGGCGGCCTCCTCCTCCCAGGCCGCAGCCTCCTCCTCCTCCTCCTCGCCCTGCTCGGCCTCCTCCTGCTCGGCGTCCTCGTCCGCCTCGGACTCGGAGTCCAGGACGGCGAACTTGTTCGCGAGCCGGGCCATGGCGGGCGGACGCCTCGGGGGTGGGAGGCTTCCGGGATGCCCAGCAGCCTACGACCGCGCGCAAACCTCGAGCCGAGCAGAGGTGCAGCAAAAGGCTGGCCGACGGCACGGTAAATCCGGCCCGGCGAGGTGAGCTTCGGTCATTGCGATCGGGATAAGCCAGCGTGCGGTCGAAGAAACATACGGTTCGAGACACACAGCATTCAACAGCTGTTATCTAACAATACCTTGTGCCTGAGACATGCATTCATCGCCACCGCAATCAAAGTCGTGACTTCCGCAGCTCCCTTCGATGGCAGCTGCATGTGCGGGAGCGTGCCTGCACCGACAGGAACGTTGAACCTCGGTCACGCCCACGCTCACTGTCCGCGCAACTTGCAACGGCTGGGTGGGACTCGTGCTCGTGCTTGCAGCTGCGTGCGCATGTTTCACAGGCGCTGACGCCAACACCCGAGAAGCGAGAGACGCGCAATAACACGTTCTCGGAGGACAAAACAACGAGCCGCGGCAGACAGGGTGGCACATGTCGCATGTCGCGTGGCAGACCTGGGAGGCAGGGCGATGTGGATGGGGGGATAAGAGAGCGAGAGCGATATATATATATATATATATATATATATGTACACACATATATATAGATGGAGAGAAAGAGAAAGAGAGAGCGATAACGAGAGAGAGAGAGAGAGAGAGAAATAGAATCAAACAAACAACACACACACACAAAAAAAACTAGAGAGAGAGAGAGAGAGAGCCAAACAATCTCGGGAAAGAGAGAGAGAGGGAGATAGAGACAGAGCTAGTGAGGGGGAGAAAGAGAGAAAGAGAGAGAGAGAGAGAGCGAGAGCGAGAGCGAGAGAGAAACAAAGAGAAAGAGAGAGAGAGAGAGAGAGAAAGAGAGAGAGAGAGAGAGAAAGAGATCCAGCGAGAAGAGAAACGACAACGACGAGCGAGGCCAAGGGAGCAAAAACAGGATGGCGACGCCGCGCGGGGGGCCACCGCCGTGGGCGCCGCGGCGGCCCCCTCGGCGCGTCCGGGCTCCGACGGGTGCAGCCCGCCGGCCTCCTCCGCCGCCTGGCGGGGCGCCAAGCACGGGTGCGGCAGGCCGTGCGTCTGGCGCCGCCCTCCTCCTCCTCCTCCTCCTCCTCCTCCTCCTCCTCCTCCTCTCCTCCCCTCTCCTCCTCCCCCTCCTCCTCCTCCTCCTCCTCCTCCTCCTCCTCCTCCTCCTCCTCCTCCTCCTCCTCCTCCGCCCGCTCCCTGCCCCTTCTCCCCGTGGTGCCAGCGCCCGCTCCCGCATAGAAGGGGGGGCAAAAACGCACGGACACAACGAATCGTCGATAATCCCCCGAAAATGTGGGAAAATGTGGGAAGGGGGGGGGGAAGACGAACACCCAGGAAATATAGGAACAGATGGGGAATCCTGTGATTTGTGTGCATGGATTTGTGTGTCCCAGGGCCCCTTCAGTATACCTCCTCTCCGGGGGAACGCAAGGGGGGGGTGATGGAACGCAAGGGGGGGGGGGATAGCAGAGGGCAGGGTAGAGAATCAGCGCACGCGGCTGCTTTTCCCCAGCGCCTCCCGGCGCCCACGCATCGAGGAAAATGGGCCCGGCGGCGGGGCCGAAACCGGCCGCATGTAGCAGCTTTCGCACTCCCCCCCCTTGCCCATCCCCCCCCGTTCGCTCGGCCCGACCCTGTGCCAGCGCCCGCTCCCGTATATACCTCCTTTGGATAGAGGTCTCCTAGATGGGGTCCGAGTGGATGGGGTCGAAGGGTCGCGCCGCATCGCCAATGCATCGCCGATGCATCCGCGATGCATCGGTGATGCATCGGCGACGTCGGCGATGCATCGGCGACGTCGGCGTGGGGAAACACGGGCTCCACATCGAGCCGCATAGTCGATGCATCGGCGATGCGGCGCGATCCTTCGACCCCATCTACTCCGACCCCATCTAGGAGGCCTGGATGTGGACCAGCGCGAGAGCCCGCCCGGGAGACGGCGCTCCGGGGAGGCTCCGCGGGGGAGGCGGGCACGCGGCGGGGGGGGGGGGGGCGCTTGGCGCGGGGGCCCCTTAGGGAGCGCGACGCATAGGCTGGACGGTGTGGAGCTGTGCGTCGGGGAGCTGGGCAGGGCCAGGGCAGAGCGTGGCACAGCGGCAGATCATCCGCTCCTGGATGTGCAGGCACATCGGCATTCTGCGTGCATGTGCAGATGCAGATCGCCCCGTAGCCCCATAGCCCCATCGCCCTATAGCCCAAGAGCCCCATAGCCCCATCGCCCTGTAGCCCAAGAGCCCCATAGCCCTATAGCTATGCTTGGGGCTTTCTCCGGTACCACATATATGTTTGTATATGTATATATGTATACATATATGTATACATACATAGATGACGAGTTTACACATGTGTATGAATGGGTGTACGGCAGGCCAGGGAGAGCTGGTCTCGGTTTAGACAGCGGGAGAACTGATCAACATTACGCTATGAAAATTCTGGTGGGTGAAGACGGTTGGGCGAACCCTGCTACATTGCGTCACAACTGGAACTACAATCCATTCACGCCATCATTAGAACATGCAACATCATCAGGACGTCGAACGAATGGCCCAACACACATACATGCATTAGTACCGCAAGGCGCATGGGAATAAGCAATGGGACGAGAAAAACGACTGCGGAGCGCACAGGAAGGACAAGGACGCATGATAACAGGGGTAGGCATAGGGCGGGGCCGACGATGAGGACGTCTTACAACATTTCGAGCCGGCTGCGAAGTCGCAAGTCCCTGCGGGGCCAGATCCTCGTGGGGGGTTCGCCGAAGTGGGCCGTGGGACACCATGCGAGTTCCAGTCGCTGGGGCCATCGGTGGAGCTCCCTCTGTAGAGCCATCCTTTTGAGGGGTGTGCCAACATGAGCACAGAGACGCCATGCGAGCCCCTTCACTCGCGCCATATGTGCAGCTCTCTACAGAGCACGATCCTCGTGACGGGTATGCGGGGGGACCCATACGAGCTCCTCCACTGGGTCCATATGTGGAGCTCCCTATTGGGGGGCACGATCCTTGTGAGGGGCTTGTGGGAAATTGCGGGGGGACGCCCTGTGAGTTCCCCGATGGGGCCACGCGAAGCTCCGCAGGGGGAACGATCATCGTAAGGTGTGTGTGTGTGTCGGTGATGACCACGTCGGCGCGCTGACCTGGCTTGCCTCGAGGATTCTGGCGCCGCCTCAGCGGGCGCCCTCGAGGCTTCCTCTGCCCTGCTGCGCCCCGCTCTCCGCGAGCAGAGCGCGGCGCTGGGCCCGCGCAGGGCCCCCGAGACCCGCTGCCGCCCCGCCGCCGCCCCGCCGCCGCCCCGGCTGCCGCCACCCGCTTGGTGGCAGGAGGACCTCGTCGGCCCTCCGCCACGCCAGCCTCGCCCTCTGCGCGCCTCGCCTCCGTCTTGAGCACAGACCGACCGTCCCGGCACTCCTATCGTCATAGTCCTACCACGACATGTTCCTAGAACCCAGAAGTGTTCTAAGAACAAGATCAATGTTCTGAGAACATAAGCCCGATGTGATAAAACAAGCCAGACTCCGCCAGAAATGTTCTAAGAACATTTTGTGGAAACCACACAAAGGTTCTCAGAACATTGTTCGGTAGGGCTACAGGCGAACCGGGAAGCTTCGCCACTGCTTGAGATCCGTCACTGCTGGTGGCTCCCCCCCTCCGGCGACACGCAAGATTTACCCTGGGCACGAGTGCCCCTTGGTGCGCGGCTTCGGGGGGGCCGCGGGGGGACCACACACGGGCGCGCAAGACGCTGCTCATCGCGCCACGTGCGGAGATCGGGGGGGGGGGGAGGCCCGACGTGTCCGCACCAGGAGGTGACCCTGGCGACAGGCCCCTCTCACGTGCCGTCGACCACTCCCCGGGGCCGCCGCCCCCCCCCTCCCCGCGTCCCCTCCGGCTCCCGCTGCTCCGCCCTCGCTGCCGGCGCTCTCGCTCGCTGGCGCCCCTGGGCGCCGCGTGCGGCCGCGGAGGAGGAGGAGGAGGAGGAGGAGGAGGAGGAGGAGGAGGA